GTGTTCTGGCCACCAGACACCTACATGGATAGGCCTGTTGTTTTGATATTTTAAGATAAATTTCTTGATTGTTCAGTCACTCAGAACTCAGGAGGAATCAGATAAGTTTCATCATTATCTCCCTGAGCTCGTGGCTGGATTTTTTCTAGTCCACCCTTTAACTGAGCTTTTAACACTTTGAGGTGCCTGGGTTTATGACCTATCTCATTTGCAACTCCCCGCATCACATAGGCCAGATGCATTCTTTTCTTCTTGCTCATGTGTCAATCCTAAATTAGTTTAGTAAGATTTTTGATTAATTAAAAATGTATTTTATTACTTTTTTTGATGAATATAATTGTATATATTTAAAGTGTGCAATGTGGTTATTGGACATACATATACATTTGTGGAATGATTATCAAGATCAAGATAATTAACACATTCTTCACTTCACGTAGTTAACTCTTTCTTGTGGGTGTGGATAAGAACGCTTAAGAACTTTTCTCAGCAACTTTCAAGTTTACAATACTGTATTTTTAACTATTGTCACCATGCTGTACATTAGATCTTCAGAACTTAAAACTGAAAATTTGTACCCTTTGACCTACATCACTCATCTCCCCCACTCCCCATCCACCAACATCTGTTCTCTGTTTCTGTGATATTGGCTTTATTTATTTATTTTTTAGATTTCACATATAATTGACACCATTCAATATTTGTCTTTCTCTGTTTGGCTTATTTCACTTAGCATAATGTCCTCCATTTTCATCCATAGCATCACAAGTGGCAGGATTTCCTTATTTATAAGGATATATATATATATAATATATATACCCATATAATGGAATAATATTTTCTATAATATATAATATGTAAACCACATTTTCTTTATAGGTTGTTCATATCTTGGCTATTGTGAATAATGCTGAAATGAACATGGGAATGCAGGTATCTCTTAGAGATACTGTTTTCAGTTCTTTCATATATACCCAGGAATGGGATTGCTAGTTCATCTCATAGTTAAATTTTGAATTTTTTGAGGAAACTCCATTCTGTTTTTCATAATGGCTATACCAGTTTACATTCCTACCAACAGTGCAAGAGTGTTCCCTTTTCTTCACATCCTTGTGAATATTTATCTTTTGTTTTTTTGATAATAGCCATCCTAATAGGTGTGAGATGATCTCATTATGATTTTGATTGGCATTTCTCTGACAATTAGTGATGTTGATCATCTTTTCAAATACCTACTGGTCATTTGCATGTTGTCTTTTAAAAAATGTCTATTCAGTTCCTTTGCGCATTTTTAAATTGTGTTATTTGCTTTTTTGCTGTTGAGTTGTATAGGTTCTTTATATAATTTAAATATTAATTCCTTACCAGATTTTTGGTGTCTAAATATTTTTTCCTTTTCTGTAGGTTACCTTTTCAATTTATTGACTGTTTCCTTTGTTGAGAAGATGCTCTTTAATTTGATCTAGTCCCACTTGTCTATTTTAGGGTCTGTTGTCCATGCTTTTGGTGTCTTTTCCAACAAATTATTGGCAAGAGCAATGTTAAGGATTTTTTTCTCTTACATTTTTTTTTCTTTTGGATTTTTATGGTTTCAGATTGTATATTTAATTCTGTGATCCATTTCAAGTTAATTTTTGTGAGTGATATAAGATAAGATTCCTGTTTCATTAGTTTGCATGTGGCTATCCAGATTTCCTAGCATCATTTATCAAAATGACTATCCTCTCCCAATTGTTTGGTTTTGGTGCCCTTGTCAAAATTAGTTTACTGTATACATGGGAGTTTCATTCTAGTCAAACTCTTTTCTAAGTTCCAACCTCCTGTTATTATTGATTATTCAACATTTCCATCTGAATGTCCCATAAGCATCTCAAACAGGCCCAGTCTAAATTCATTACTTTTACTTCCTTCTTTCTATTTTAATTATTAATATCTTTGTCAAATTAGACAGAAATAAGTTTTGGCCATTAAGGTTTATAACTGTCTTAGAATAAGAGACTTGGACAACAACAAAATATATTCTTATATATATCAGAATTATAAATTTAGTAATGAGCTTCGTATATACTTTTTCTCTTAATAGTGTTTTTAATGTCTGTGTTTCTTGAATTGAATTGCTTTGTCCCATGTTAAGTCGTGATAAACAACTCTTCAAAATTTAAAGGCAAAAATATCAAGATTTAGTGGAATCACAATCTATTTCTTTCTACACTTTCTAGGAGGGGTGTTAAATAAGCTATGATGTATAAGACTTTTACAATGAGGTTATAAAATAACATTCTATCCTGGTAAAATAGCTGTAAATTGTTATAGATAACAGAGAAGATGTTATTGTCCTTTAAAGGAAGCTGTTTGATAAGTGCCCTGAGCTGGTCCTACATGGCGTGTATTCTAACTACCCAGATTGCTGGTTCCTCAAGCAATCCATGAAATTTTACTTATCTGGATCTTTGTTAATGCTTTCCTATACCTTCTTGTACGTCAAAATTTTACTCACTCTTCTAAACTCAGGTCAAATGCTGCCACCACTCTGAAGCTATGTTCCCCTGAATCAGAATTAATTTATTCCTTTCTTTATATTGCCAAAACACTATTTTTTTTGAGGACTCCTTTTATTGTGGTAAAAAACATATAACGTACATTTACCCTCTTAACAATTTTAAGAATGTTATAGTATTGTTAACTGTGCTCATTGTTGTACAAAGATCTCTAGAACATTTTCATTTTGCATGATTGAATTTCTATACTCATTGAACAACTCCTCTTTTCCCCCTCTTCCTACTTCTTGGTGACCACCATTATACCTTCTGTTTCTGTGAATTTGATTACTTTAGATAACTCATACAAGTAGAATCATGAAGTGTACATCTTTATGTGGTTGGCTTATTTTACTTAGCATAATGTCCTCTAAATTCACTCAACTTTTGCATATGATAGGATTTCCTTCTTTTTAAGGATGAATAATATACATTGCATTTTACATTTTCTTTATCCTTTGACGCATTGATGACATTTAGGTTGCATACATATCTTGGCTGTTGTGAATAATGCTACGATGAATGTGGGTGTGCAAATATCTATTTGATATTTTGTTTTGCACTCATCCTGATAAATACCCAGGAGTGGGATTGCTGGATCATACGACAGTTCTATTTTTAATTTTTTAAAAAAATATTTTATTTTATTTATTTATTTAGAGAGTGAGCAGGGAAAGAGCCAAAGGGGCAGAAGGGGATGGGGGGTGGGGTAAGAGGGAGGGAGAGAGACAAGCAGACTTTGTGCTCACTGTGGAGCCTGACATGGGGCTCCACCCCACAACCCTGTTATCGTGACCTGAGCTGAAACCAAGAGTGGGCCCTTTAACTGACTGAGCCACTCAGGTGCCCCCTATTTTTACTTTTTTGAGGATACTCCATACTGCTTTTTCCATAGTAGCTGCATCATTTTATAATCCCACTAACAGCATACGAGGGTTATAGTTTCCCCCCATCCTTGCCAACACTTTATATATTTATGGTGGCCATTCTAATAGTATGAGGTAATATCTTGTACCAAAGTGCCTGATTCTTATTTAATTCTGTTTTGCACTTTAGATAGTTGTTTACATGTCTTTTTCTTCACTAAGCATAGAGTAAGCACTGCCTACTAATAGTAACCTCATAATGCCTAGTTCATAATAGGTGCTCAAGGTGTACTTAATAATTTAATTCCTATTAGTAGGTAAATAATATTCTATTTCTTATTATCCCTCTGCCAATATGTATACAAAGAGTTGATCTAACACCAACTGCATCCTCTACTTTTTAAAAGAGAAGAACATGAACTATGTTTCAATATTATTACTTTTCCAATGGAATTTGATTGACACATTGGTGTAGTTATTCTATTCCAAAATGAAGATTTTTAAAAAAAAAGAAATAAACATCATTATGCTGTTTTGTAAGTAAGGGCTTTATTTTAAGTTAAAGTGTTATATGCTATAAATTAATACCTAAATGCTTACTTACATGTAATATGTTTATCTATAACAACACATACAGGAGAAAGGGTTTTGCATATGATAAATTGGACCTAACAACTAATAACAACTCCTAGTAAGTGAACAAACTTCTCAAAAACAACTGGAACTACATGATTTATTGAACACAATGGGATGAAAATAAGACTTTTTACCTTTTCTCTTTTAGTGTAGTACTCAAAGGTCCTCAACATTTTCTATTACAGTTTGCTAAAGTGTGCCAATAAATCTCTACATTTTATTTGCAATGTTATTTTATCTTTCGCTTGGACATCTGTTCATACTTCATCCTTTTGAGAATATTTTAAAGGCTGTTTCCCCCGTAAGATTGCCCGCTATAGCTGATGACTGAAAAGATATGTACAAAATAAAAAATAGGAGGAGGACAGCAGGGCTATTACATATGGTCCAGTCACATTAGCTTAGATCAAAAATGCTTATTCTGTTGTTTTGAGGTTTTTTGGGTTTTTTTTTTTTTAAACAACTTATGTCACCTGGTCCTTGGAATCTGACTTCAGGCAACCTAAGAAAACACAAGTTCAGTGAATAGTTAAAAGGTCACAGTTAAATTTCTTAGGACTTGAATTGAATCACATCTGGAGGGGCAAGCTTGAGTACCAAGTGCCAGTACTAGTGGGAAAAATGCACAAAAATTTGCACATTGTGAGAATACCATAACAAAGAGAATAACCATTTTAATATATGATTAAAATTCAATATTTATAATAATGACTACAAAAATAAAACCTCAACAACAAAGGCCTTGATGGATTATAAATTATTCTAACACAACTTTTGTGTTGACCTTTATTAAGTAGAATATGTTGGTGGTTGTGCTCAACACGATGGAGAAGGGCTCTTATTCTTCCCTATCTTGAGTATCCAGCAAGCCTAAGATGTCCCTAGGCCTTGCTGGTCTCTGCAAACAATGAGGTCCCATTAGCAAAAAAAACTTGCATTTTGCTCCTTGGTGGTAACTTACCTGTACAACTCAGGGGCCTCACCTTTTTCCTGCTCCCATTCAAAGCCTCCCTTTTATTTCTAGGATTCTCTGGGAGAGTTCTCATGAGACCTGAAGAACAAGACCATTAATCTGCTTTTGTCTCTTTGAAGTCTGCTGGTTGTGAGTCACCCGCTGTCCTTAGCTGGTGCTGTGTTGAGTGTCTCGGTCCCTTCTGTTGCCCTTTCCCCAAATGTTCCACATTTTATCACTTGGGCTTTACTCAGCCTGTGTAAGTCACAAGTTTCAGCCAGTTCCTCCTAAACACAGCTCCTGTAGTTCCCACCTTCAACCTTTCGCTGTTCTTCAGTCTCCACCTTCTATATGCTACCCACTGCCCTTTACATCTGTATGAGTATGTGCAAATGCGTAAGCGCGTGCGCGGGCACACACACACACACACCCTCATGTCCTTTACATGGTTCAGGCACTCAAAAGCGAAACTTCTCTGGCCCAGAACCAGAAGTCCTTCCTTATTTTAACCCAAGCAAATGGGTTTGGAAGAAGAAGAGGAGAGCATGCTCTATGTATTTGAAGACCTTTGCCCGGCATCCACCATGAATATCCAGTCTGATTTTCATGATATGATAAAAAGGGGAAATCAGAGTGAAAGGGTTGAATAGGGCAGGTGGGGTATAAAGTAAGAAAATAAGAGAAAAGCTCAGCTTTTGGAGTTTCTTGGAAGGTACTAGGAAATGAAAGCAGCATATGGTACTGGTGAAGAGTACAGACAACTGGGTTTCATATCCAGCTTTACCACTTAACGTCACTTGGGGCACTTACTAAATCTTCTGCACTTACTATTTCTCATCTCCAAGTTGAGGATAACCATAGTACCTACCTCACAGGGTTATGGTGAGGATTGAATATACACAAAGTACTACTAAGTGCTATGTAAGTATTGACTATTGTTATTTATTATTATTATTTACCACTGAGACTGTAAATTAATCCTAGATTCTGTATCTTTGCCTTAGTCAGGAGTTGACTTAATCTACATGTATCTGTCTGTTCTGAAGTTACATCAACGTCTCTGGATCCAGAGACACCTGTGTTCAGCAGGCCATTAAAACAACCCACTCCCTAATGCTGTTCTTTTGGCTTCTCTGAGCTCCTGGGCTCCAGATAATTCCTGTGTTTCTGCTTCTCCAAGCCTCCTACTTCTGTCTTCCTTAACCAAATCGGCCTTCTGTCTCTGTCATCATGGTAACTTCTAGACATCTTTTGCTTAGCTGGACTTGTAGTGTTGGCCTCTCTGAGTCAGTCCTCTCCTGGTGTCAGCTGTACCTTGCCATGGCAGCAACAGATATTCGGAGACTAGAAACAGATGGATTATGATGAACACTATATATTGTGTCCTCACTCATCTTGGCAACAGGTGGCTGCTCAGCCAGCTGGGGTCTTTTTAAGGACACTCTCCCAGGCCTCCCTCTGACCATTTGCACTTCAGTCCAGATGGTGACATGGCTCCCCAGAGTCCTGAATGAACTTAACAGGAGATAGCAGGGTTATGCTGATTTTGCCTTGGGTCTAATACAAGCTTAGAGTTTTCTTTTTTTAATTTTACTTTCTAATTCAGGAAAAAGGAACAAGCCTTATGTGAAAGTCATGTTCACAATGTGGTTTCAAATTCTGTCATAGGAAGTCTAAATTTACGTGATTAAATTAGAATTCATAAATGCCAAGGGCCAGAAAGCAAATTAATTTGTTTTTACTGTTGGAGAAGAATAAAGATGACTTTGGGTAATCTAAGGTATTAGATTATTTACTTTGTCTATCTGATTTCCCTTTATAAAGATTCCTGCTACATCAAAACCATGGCAAACATATTTGTTATGATATATTGGGTACAGGTTCACCTTGGTAAGAGATGGAGGCAAGTTGCTTTCATTTAAGGTTAAAACTACTTTACACCACATTCTGGAACTAACCTACTTTCAAACAAATTATGGCTTAGAAGAACAGTACATATTTGCTTAAAGTTATCTCTGCTTATACAGTGTTTTCCGATGCATTTATGCAAGTGTTGATTAAATCCTTCATGTTGCTTGAATGCTTTATGATCACTGAATTGTTGGTTAAGGAAATCAAGGAAAAATGTTCCAAGACCAAGGCACAGACATTTTTGAGATGTAAAACGAATAAAAATAGTAGTCATTATTTAAGACTGGTTGAGAAATTTATAATAACTGCAAAGGACATATTTTATGGACTCTTCCCAGTTAATTTAAAAATCTCAAGTATCTAAAATTTTAATCTTAGTATTGAAACATGAACTTCGGAATATCTAGAACCAGAAAGGTTCTAAGTTCTTAAAGATAGATTTAAATATATATTCATTTTTCTCATAGAATAACATACCTATCTTAGTTAAGCGATGGCATTCAGACATTAATCTGTGAATCATTAATCTATGACATAAAAGCTTTGGTAACAACATTGAGATACTACCTTACACCAGTTAGAATGGCCAAAATTAGCGAGACAGGAAACAACATGTGTTGGAGAGGATGTGGAGAAAGAGGAACCCTCTTACACTGTTGGTGGGAATGCAAGTTGGTGTAGCCACTTTGGAGAACAGTGTGGAGATTCCTCAAGAAATAAAAAATAGAGCTTCCCTATGACCCTGCAGTTGCACTACTGGGTATTTACCCCAAAGATACAGATGTAGTGAAAAGAAGGGCCATCTGTACCCCAATGTTTATAGCAGCTATGGCCATGGTCACCAAACTGTGGAAAGAACCAAGATGCCCTTCAACGGACAAATGGGTGAAGAAGATGTGGTCCATATACACTATGGAGTATTATGCCTCCATCAGAAAGGATGAATACCCAACTTTTGTATCAGCATGGACAGGAATGGAAGAGATTATAAGTCAAGCAGAGAGAGTCATTTATCATATGGTTTCACTTATTTGTGGAGCATAACAAATAACATGGAGGACATGGGGAGATGGAGAGGAGAAGGGAGTTAAGGGAAATTGGAAGGGGAGGTGAACCATGAGAGACTATGGACTTTGAAATTCAAACAACCTGAGGGTTTTGAAGGGGCAGGGGGTGGGAGGTTGGGGGAGCCAGGTGGTGGGTATTATGGAGGGCATGTATTGCATGGAGCACTGGGTGTGGTGCAAAAGCAATAAATACTGTTACGCTGAAAAGAAATAATAAAAAAAAAAGCTTTGGTAACATTCTTCTCAATAACATGGCTCCTTATTGAAACATGACAGAATTCTGATGGGGCCTCCATTGTTTCCTTGTCCATCATCAGAGTTGCACCTGCCTGCTATTTTCTATGTCTAACCCCGAGATTAAATTTAGTGAATAGGAAAGAAAAGTTAGGAAAGAGAGGAAAACCAATGAAGGGCAGAGAAATCAGAGCAGCAGCAGTAATACTGCCCACATAATCTTCTGTATTTTAGAGGTTCATATTTTTAAAAGGGTAAAATCATACAAATTTCATACAAATATAAAATGAAGTGTTAAAGATTTTGTTTAGCTCGTTAGTTAATGAGGAAACCAATAAGATGTTACAACTGGTTAAAATGGGAATTTAATTTATGTTCTCTGTGGGACAGATCTATTTGCATTTGAATGAAGAGGAACCATTTGCATAATTATGGACGAGGAGCTTTTTCATTACTATCAGTTTTCTAAATAGGCTAGTCAAAGGGGGAGATAACCCTAATGACTGAGCTAAGCAGAACCCTAATTTCTTTTTTTCTTCTTCTTTTTAACCAATTAGAAGTCATTCACAATTTTTTTCTGACATTCATATACATGATACTTATGAACTAAACTGTGTTCTCCCAAATTCATATGTTGAATCTCTAACACCTGATGTGACTATATTTTGAGATAAGGCCTTTAGAGGGGCATTTAAAGTTAAATGAGGTCATAAGGATGGGGCACTAATCCACTATGACTAGTACCCCTATAAGAGGAAGAGACACCATGTTGACTTGCATATGCAAAAAAGACCATGTGAAGACATAGCAAACTGGCCATCAGCAAGCCAAGGAAAGAGGTCTTAGGAGACACTAAACCTGCCAACACCTCCATCTTGGACTTTGAGAAAATACATTTTTGTTGTTTTAGCCTCCCAGTCTGTGGTATTTTGTTATGGCAACCATAGAAAATGAATACAATTCCTGAATCCTACTCTAACATGAATAGAGGAAAAGCTTCAAAGAGAGTACTGTTTCATTCCCAAATTAATGAAATTATGAAAACTTAACAGCTGGCTGTCCAGATAATTAATACTTGTCCATTGATGCCATCTCCCTGCTAGCTCTCAATTCTATGGCATTTGAACCCTCACTTCAAAGGAATTGTGAATGTCAGGTGAATATCATGAAGTTGAAAGCCTCTCTGTCCTTGATGCTTCCAGAGATAGTTTTGTCTACCAGCCCAGCACCCTCCTCTTACTCTCCTCGGTTTCTCTCCAACTCATCTCCCAACTTCTCCTCCCTCTAGAAACACACCCTTTCCCCAGAAATGAGGCAGAGGACAGGCACCAAGGTCTATAGGTTATATCATAATACTAAACTGGATTGGATTTTATGTTAATTTGTTTTCTGTTAAAAAAAAAAAAAAAAGGCAAACACAATCTTGTTAGCTGCTATTCACTACCCAGTGAACCTTGCAGGTCCACTCCTGAAACAGATCTGAGAACAGCCCTACTCCCAGGCAACTTCCAATCATATCTGTTCTGAAAACATTATTAGCACAATCTCAAACTTTTACTGTTATTCATTTTTTAATTCAAAGAATAATTGACATACAATAACCTCTTAGTTTCAGGTGTACATCATAGTGACTCAATATTTTTATACACTACAATATGATCCCCACAATCAACCAGTTACCAAATCTGTCATCATACAAAGTTATTACAATATATATAAGTATGTATATATGTATGACTATATATAATTGAAATTTTGTACCTCTCAGTTCCTATCACATGTTTTGCTCAACCCTCTCCCTCCACTGCCTCTGGTGACCAATAGCTTGTTTCCTGTATCTATGAGTCTGTTTCTATTCTTTTTTGTTTGTTCATTTGTTTTGTTTTGTTTTGTTTTTAGATTCCACACATGAATGAAATCATGCAGTATTTACCTTTCTCTGTCTGACGTATTTCATGCAGCATAATGCCCTCTAGGCCCATTTTATTGTTATTCTTAAAGACTTCACATCTCTTTTGGTACCTGCCTCAAGGCATCAACATCCTTAGGCCTTTGCCTCTAGGCTCCTTTTTTTCTCTTCAACTCCTTTCTTATAGAACAAGAAATCTGAAAGCTTCTACGGGGATGTTTCTGAGCCTATAATGCTTTTTTCCTGGAAAGCTTCCACTATAGAAATTTCAGTAACACTTAAAAAATTATCATAATGGGAATGGCAGAGTAAGGAGATCAGTAGACCCTAAGCAATTTAAGTGGTGAAATTATTTAAAAAAAATATTTAAAGTCTCTGGAAATTTTCCTTAGGGTATACAGAAAATGGAGAATCATTCAGGAAAATCTACTAAATCTTTTGGCAAGAACACCAGAATCTATGGTATTTCAGCCACAACCTAGTCCATTATCTCCCCCATGTTATGAAAATCTACCTGGTATATTCCAATTTGATCAAGTATAGGGAAGGAAATGGGTGCTCTCTTTACCCTCAGCTCCCATCCTGGGCTATAATCCTCCTAAAAGGGCAGGCTGCCAGTATTTCTCACCCCTCCCTTCCCAATAGCTACAATTCCAGTCACTGACCTTAACCCATTCCACCCCCACTCATAGGGTAGAAACTCTGTCTCAGGTGTCACAGGCCTTGAATCCTGGGAGCATAATCTTCCCCTCCTCAGCTGTCTCATCTGGTTTCTCACCCAAAGTGGCAAGTTGAGAAGACCAGA